CATCCCACCACCCCCCCCCTTGGTACCGGTGGTGACACACGGCCGAGGCCATGGACCCCAAGGACCGCAAGAAGATCCAGTTTTCGGTGCCAGCACCCCCCAGCCAGCTGGACCCCCGCGCCGTCGAGATGGTGAGGGTGGATATTGGGGTATGGGGTCACGACGGGGGTCCCCAGAGTGAGCAGGAGGGATGGGGGGGACAGGAGACCCCGAGGTCCTGTGGAAGGGACCAGGATGGGACGGGGACAGTGGGACAGAAGGGATGGAATGGGACTGGGAGAGGAGGAGAAGTGGGATCAGAGGGGACAGGAGTGGGACGGGAGGGAGAGAGGGGACAGGATGGGACAAGGAGGGTGGGAGGGGACAGGATGGGGGACGGAGAGAACAGAGGATGGGGTGGGAGCGGGAGAGTAGGACAGAGGGGACGGAGGAGACAGGATGGGACCGGGAGTGCAGGACAAGGGGATTGGAAGGGACAGAGGGGACAGGAAAGAAACAGGGACAGGGTGAGAGAGCTCTGAGATCCCTGTGTGAGCCTTGGTCCCACACAGAGGGAGAGTTGTGCAGGGGAACAGGGATGGGACAGGAGGGTACAGGAGGGAAGCGATGGGACAGAGGGGACAGGACACTCTGGGGGACAGTGCAGCCACCCCCAACTGGTTGTCCCTGACCTGAGGGGACGTCCCCAGCACACGCTGGACCCAGAGCCCTCATCCTTGCATGTATGTGAGTGTGTGGGGACAGAGAAGGGGACAGGGGACCCTGGGCATGGCGGGTGACAGGGGCAGTGACACCTCGCTGTGCCCCAGATCCGCCGGCGGAGGCCCACGCCAGCTATGCTCTTCCAGCTCTCTGAGCACTCGTCCCCAGGTGAGTGGGACAGGGATGGGCATCGGATGGGGACGGGATGGGACACAGGGCAGTGACACACATGGGGGCAGGGGACGGGGGGTCCTGGGATGGGAGGAGGCGGAAGGGATGGGACGTGGTGTCATCGGTAAGATGGGGTGGCAGGGATGGGACGCATTGGCAGAGAGGGGGATGCGGTGTCATGTACAGCATGGGATGTTCGTGGTGGGGCATGGTGGTGGGGAGAGGACACGGTGGCGGGACAGGACGCGGTGTCATGTATGGTATGGGATGTCAGGAATGGGACGCGGTGGCAGAGAGGGAACAGGGTGTCACGTATGGGATGGGGTGGCAGGGACGGGACACGGTGGTGGGACAGGATGCGGTGGCAAGTCCCTGTGGGCAGGGTGACACCCCTGGAGCAGGAGCTGGGGGTGGACAGGGCCCTGCCTGGCTCTGTGGGGTGCTGGTGGCTCCATGGGGTGCTGGCAGCCCCACGCTCACCCCTCTCTCCCTGATGCTGCTGACCCAGAGGATGAGTCCCTGCCCTATCAGGTGAGTTGGTGCCGGGACCCCCA